AGTATTTTTTTATTTAACTTATATTTATAAAATTATTTTAATATTTATACTAATATTTAAATTCGATATTACCAAATAATAGCTGCAAAACAGATTTATAAAAGATAAATATCAGAGTAAAAATATTTATTATATAATTTTTATATAGTACTGACATCTATCTTATATGCTATCATATATTTAACAAATAACTGTAATATAACAGATTATAAGTAGATATATAATGTAGCTATCAGGATGTTTAAAGTATCTAAAATTTAATCTATATTTAACTTATATTTAACTTATATTTATTTAAATACTGATATTCAAATTTAATGCCCAAATAATGACAGCAAACAGATGATAAATACCTTTATTGTATTTAGTTCTTATAAAGTACCAATATCCATCTTATATGCTACTATATATCTAACAAATAACTGTAATATAACAGAATATAAGTAGATAAATAAACTTAGCTATTATGATATTAAAGTATCTAAAATTTAACTCATATTTAACTTATATTTATTTAGAAATGCTGATATTCATATTCAATGCTACTAAATAATGACAGCAAAACAAATTTATAATTATAATATAAAAGATAAATAATAGAATATTAAAAGAAGATCTTTCATTATTATTATATTTTTATCACAACTCTTCCCGATGATCACTTGTATCGAATTTCATACCAACAAAAATGGAAAACTTATTGGAGAAAGTAGAAGAGACTACTATACAAATAACAGTTTTTATAAAGGTCAAAGTGGTTCTTCTACACTAGACTTCTTTATATATTTAGCAAGCAAACTAAAAGTACGCATATACAAGATAACTGGCAGGAGGTGCTCTTGTATAACAAATTTTAGTAGAAGTCTTGGCTTCTGTTAATGAAGTTAAAATAGTAGGCCTTATAGAAGAACAATAAGCAAGTTTTCAACACACTTACTAGAAATTCAAGGATACCTGCTAACCGAACACTACTATCATATTCTTCGCTTGGTTTTTTGACAGAAGTTTTTACAAGAAGTGGAAATCTAGCATACTTTCTATGAAAGATCTGCAGAAATTGTCCATTTTGGAAATAAGAGAATCATCCCTTTTCTGGAATTAGGAGTAACTCTAAGCAGAGTAAAAAGGCCAGCTGTAGAACTGGTAAAGAAGAAATTAAACACCGACATCTCTATTATCAAATTACATTTACATATAGTATAGACCTATTTTCAGAATAGAGACTAGAAGTAGCAGTACTATATAATTTTTACAAATTGCTCTGGCTGGGGCTTCAGCTCTCTTTTTGTTTTTTCTTTTTCTTACTATTATGTGTTTGTTTTGCTGTTTTGTTTTGATTTAGGTTTTGTTTGTTTATTTTTGGTTTTTTTAGTCATGTTCTTATTTATATTCATTTTTATAATACCCCTCTTTTTTCGGCCCTTTGAAAAGAAGAAAGAATTTAAAGGAAGGATTAAAGACAGTTAATGCTTGTCCTGAAGAGAGGAATCCTTTCTGGTATGGCTTTAAGTAGCCAGATAAGCAGTCTACCTTTGACTGGGGTAGTGCAGCAGGTCGCACTTAAATACCAATAAGGTGGCTGAGTGATGCTGGACTTAGTTATTAGGAAAATTCTATGTAGTTATTGTATATAGTTGCAAGAATCTTAATAAAATATTAGCGTGGCTGCTTAAGAGCAAAAAAAAAAAAAAAAAAAAAAAAGAAGATCTTTATTTAACTTATATTTAACTTTGATATATTACTGATATTTATCTTTTATTCTGTTCTATATCTGCCAAATAACTGTAGCATAACAGATTATAAATAGATAAATAAAAGATAGCTATTAATATATAAAAGGCAGACTGTTATTTATCCTTTATATATTCATTAGTAGAGAGTTAGAATATATAGATAGAAATAAAATTCTTAAGAAAAAAAATGTCTTTTAGATAATAAAGATAATTAATATAGTTAAAATAAAAAATATAAGAATAGAGTAGTTTAAGATAAAAAAGTCGTAACAAAAACAAATAGAATAATAAAGCTAATAGTCTTGCAAAAAAAGAAACAATAAACAAAAAGATAATATATATAGAATAAATTAGTTGCAAAGAAATAAAATACTGCTTAAAATGAGAAAACAAATAGATAGATATGTCAATAGAACTTTTATATAAGCTAGTAACAAATATCAGACTAGATGCAGAATAGAAAGAAATAATAGCAATCAAGAGTTTAGAACTGGTAACAGAAATAATAATTTATAACTGATTATATTTTTGAAAAAAATTAAAGTTAACCAAAGGAGCACACTGTATAACAAGAAGAACTAGCATAAAAAGAAGCATTTTTTATAAAATATGTATTGAATGAACTCTCAATATTGGAATAATTCAACAAAAAAAAACCAGATTTATATATAAATACAGAATACTAAGTATGTCAAGACAAAATTAAAGAAATACAAGGGCATCTGGCAGCATGCAAGAGACAAGCAAGCTTTTGAAAGAGAATACAAAAAGTATTCATTGCAACAACATGAAAAGTATTAAAAGAAAAAGAAAAAACTAGAGATTCATCTTATATATTATATATAACACTATTTAGAAAAACAGAAATAGAAGAAATAGAAATAAGAAAAATACTAATCATAGGTTTAATTCTAAAAACAACTCAAAACAAATTAGCATAGCTCTTAAATATGAGAACAAGACAACAATTTGTAAACACATTAGCAAAAACAACTTAGAATACCTTTTATGAGCAAGTCTGAAAAATACAATATGAAATCAATAAATAGAAAAAATGAATAAGAATAATTAGCAAAATAAAAAAAATCTCAAAAGAAAAAAAAGAACTCAAGTAAGAGAAAAAGACTAATTAGCAAGAAATAGAGAAAAAAAAAAAGAAGACAAAAAAGAAAAAAAAGCAAATTAAAGATAAAACTAGAAAAACAATTATAGAACTTGTCATAAAAGAAGAAAGACCCTTCATTATAAACTTTAAGTAGTTAGACAAGCAGCTTACTTTTGTTTAAAGTAATCTGACAGGTTGCACTTAGACACCATTAGAATAACTAGGTGATACTAGATTTAATTGTTAGATACATCTATATAATTGTATTAGTAATTTCAAAGATCTTAATAAAGTATTAGTATGATTGCTTAAGGTTAAAAAAAAAAAAAAAAAAATTAAAAAAAAGAAAAAAAAAAGACAAAACAAAAAAAAAAAAGAAAATAGAAAAAAGAAACTAAATAAAGAAAAAAATTTAGAAAACAATTAATATTTTTGTTATAAAAAAACCTCTTATTTGGTATACTTTTAAATAATTAAATAAGCAGTCTATCTTTAACTAAAATATATAATGCAACAAATTGCATTTAAGTACTGTTAAAGTAACCAAGTGATGCTAAATTTAGACATTGAAAAATTCTATATAATTATATATATATAATTTCAAAAATCTTAATAAAGTACTTTAAGTTTTTAGTTTTGGCATAATTGGATTTAAAATAAACTGTATACGTACATATAAAATTAAAGTACATTGATTTATTTAATAATAAATTAACAATAAATATAAATATACAAACCTTATTAGTCTTTTAGTCTTATTAGTCTTATTAAGCTTACTAACAAACTTTGTAACATGTTAGCTAAATATTATTGTATACGTATAAGAAATTTTTTAAGTAAATTTTTAATTTGAATTAATAAAGTTACAAAATTTCAAATTTGACTTGTAAACACAAAAGTTACACTGTTGAAATAAGTTGAAGCTAATATTCATAATCGAACAAGAGAATTAATTAAGGATAAATTAGTATATAATTATTAATAATTAAAGTCTTAATTGTATAACAACATTAATTGTTAGTTCTATTCTTTTCCGTCATAATATACATACATATACATGCACATACATAAGTATATATGTGGTATGTATGTATGTACGTATTATATTGTTTTAAACTTTTTTATCAACTTCAGGACCGAAAATGTATGATATGATGAAGGTTGACGATATTAACTAATTAAAGACAAAAATTTTTATGTATTAAGGCAAATTATGCATCAGCTAGAATAATATAGTGTGTAATATAGTATAATGTACTATTTAAGTAAATCCATCGGAAGTAAGTATCTGTATTTGGGTATAAACTATAGCGATAGTGACAGCGATAGTGATAGATCTTTGTGATCTACTCTATCAAGTTCGGTTATTCAGGTTATCGAGGTAGCTAGCATATGTAAAAAAATGTAAGGAAATATAAGAAGAGCAACAATATAACAAATATTTTTCTTTATTCAATCAATTCCAAATTGGAAAAACTTGTAACTTTGCATTTGACATAACACCAATCATATATATCATATATAAATCATATATAAAACATAAACGAGTCTTTTATTATTCGTTAAATTCATTAGCGTTAGATTTCATTAAATTCATAAGATTCGTTATATAGGTACCCCTGTAAACATAACTAACCACAAGACCATTCTTACCCCTTATGATTTTACGTCATCAAACATTTAACTAAATAAACCAAATTGACAATGTATTTTAACTCAATCAATAAATGATCACAGGTTGTCACATAAATTTGAGCATTTTTGGAAAATCAAGCCGCATCCGTTTGATGCAGCTCGTGAGCTCAACTTTTTTCTTTCTACTACGTACTTTATTGATTGATAGGCAATGAATGAATAAACATGTATGTAATGAAGGCTCAATAAACGGTCGTGAAATTTTTTTTCTCTCTCTCTCTAAGTACTTATTATCGTTATTTATCATAATTATAAATAACGTTAATAATATAATAATTTTTCATTATATCTATTATTGGATTATTGGATTAATGTACTTTATATATAAGCTTATATATTTACTTATTATATATACATGTTAAATATTCTTGTGCTCACTTTTCGTACAACACTACAAAAATAAAGTCCAAAAAAACTTTTCAAAAGACTTACGGGCTCTCTGGGCAAAGAGCATTTCAATGTCCCAAATGCCAGAACCACTTTCTACTACTCGTCAAACTAACTTTTTTCCTTCCGCTGAGCGGCTTAGTTCCTCTGATAACCAGTCTTTTGCCCACCATATACAAACCCTTTACCAACTAGAAGCTCCTAACGCAAATATTTACCTCGCTTTATCTTCTCAACTTCCAGTCTCAAATCTTATAGAAACTTTTCATACTTCCGCTAAACAAATTGACCTTTGGCTCGAATATGCTAATATTGCTATTTTTGCTTTGGAGTTGGATGTTCGAGAAGGAACAAACGTTAAAAGTGTCGGTGAAATGGATGTTCTGATTCATAAATTTGCTCCAAATATTGATTTATTACAGGAGTTGTCTCAATCAATCTTTAATAACTTAAAAGTCCCTAACGACGATGATAAAAGAAAAGATATTCAGGACTCTCTGGATAGAATAAATGCTGACTGGGTGGATACAAAAGCTTTCTTTGGAAGAGTAAAAAAAGAAATGTCTGAATCAAAACAACGTCGTGAACTTTTAGATACTATGGATCTAATTTTAGCTTCAATAGAAGAATTAAATACAAGTATTTTCGAATTTCAAGAACAAAGACTTAGTGGTGAAAATGGAAATGACTTATTTCATTTCCCAAAATTAAGTTCTAGTCCAACAAATCGAATTTCTAATTTCAATAATAATAATAACAATAATAATTCTCATAATGAATTTAGTTCAAGATCTGATGTTGCTTTAATGCAATTGGATTCTCGTTTAGAACCTTTATCGGCTAGAATTGAATATTTAAGATCTCGTTTATCCGCTCCAAATGCTCCTTCTGATCCTAATGGTATTTTATCAAAAAAGAATAATATTTTATCAAATAAATGGGATGCTTTAAAACATGAAATGGAATCTTTAAGAGAAGAATTAAAAGAGGATAAATGGTTAGGTGTTTTTAAACAAGTAACTGGTAACGCTGGTCAAATGATGGATTCACTTGAAAGAGCTGTTAGGCAATGTAAAGACTTTATATCAAGAGCTATTAATAGAGTAGATTCTCCTTTACCATTAAGAATGCTTCAACATAATAAAGGAATGCCAATACCTTCTAAATCTTATTCCTTCTCTAAAGATTCTCAACAACATCATCAACAACAACCTGTACAACCTATCATAGCTATAACTTTTAAAAATTATCAAAGATTATATAAAACTTTTGATGCTAAAAGAAAATATTATGTTCCAACTGTAACTAAAATGCTTACAATGCTTGCAAATGGAATTAATCAACAAATGACAAAAGATCGTGATGCAATTAAAAAATATAAATCAATGAAAGATCGTTGGGATGCAATTCTTGATGGTGTCGCTGAAGTTCAACATGATATGCCAGGATTGGAAGCTTTTTTAGATCACTCAGTTGTATCTAATAATTCTCCTCCTTCTTCAATACCTTCATCTATAGCTTCTTCTCCACCAATGTCCCCTAATATAAAACCTAGAGGAATTTTTTCTCCTGAATCAGGTTCTCCTCCTACAAGGGTTCAAAGATCTTTATCTCCACATAGAATTGATTATCTTGATTCACCATCAAATAATATTAGATCTCCTTTACGTTCAAAATCTCCTTCACCTAGAGCTACAAGTCCTTTAAGTAGTAGTCGTAATTATTTTTCTTCTACAAACGGTCGTTCTATTAGTCCTACTCCTCCTCACGAAAGGCCTCCATGGAATTCTTATTACAACCAAAGTTATAATTATAATAATAATAATTATAAGAATGGTCGTTCTTCAAGTCGTTCAGGTTCTCCTGTAAGATCTCCTTTAACACCTTTAACTATAACTCGTGCAATGTCTCCTGAAAGAGTAAATCCATCAAATATACCACGTCCTGTTACCAGTATGGGAATTACTAATAGAACTCCTTCACGTATTGGTATGAGATCATTTTTACCTCAACCTAGTACTCCTCAACCGGGAATGGTATCAACTTCCCGTCTAGGTATGATTTCACCTCCTCCACTGCGACGTCATCATCAACAAATAAGGACACCAACACCATCATCTGTTACAAGTAGTTTATCTCGACCAATTACACCTGAAAATGATGATCGTCCAATGACTCCATTAACTGAAAGATTATCAAGTATGTCTGTAGTTAATGATCGTAATTCACATTATATTCCTCTTAAAAATGATAAACTTGATAATGAAGTGGCGAAAATTGTAAATTCTTTACCACTTAATGTAAAAGTGGAGCGTGCTCCTGGTGGTGGTGGCAAATATTACTTTGGCCGTGAAAAAAAAGTATTTAGTTGTAAATTAGTTAATTACGCTTCAAGTAATCGAAACAAGGTTATTGTTCGAGTGGGCGGTGGTTCTCAAGATTTGGATATGTTTTTATTAGAACATAGTCTTACAAGTGTGAGATAAGTTGAGATAAGTAAGCTATTAAAAAAAAAAAAATAAAACTACTCCAGAAATTACTTTTATAATTTCTATATATATATATAGATAGAAAGAGTTATTTATTATTAAGCATTGCATTGTTACTAACATCATTTACTTAGTACATCCTTTTTAACTATATTGATTGCTGTCACTATTGTCATCATTACTGTTCATCATTTGATCATTTGGTGGTATTGGACAAATATATCTTGATTTTTTTTCCTTTTAGTTTTCTGTATATACATAGACATTTATTTTTTTTATTTTATTTTTCCTATATATCAACTATTCGTGATACTTATCAAACCAATTGGTTTAGTCTTTTGCGATACGCCTATAATATAAATTAAAAAAAAACGCTATATATATTGAATCATAAAAAAAAAAAAAACGAATCCAATATTTATTTTTTTTCTTGATGAAAAATTTATGTATGATACAATTAATTTGACAAATAGTACAAAGAGTAATAATTCATTCTTTCTTTGGATTCTCTTGCAATGAACTTTTTGTCGTGTGTTCATCAATATCAATAGCTTCCCAAGGATAAACTAACCATCTATCAGGTGTTTCTTCTGCGGCAAAATACCTACCTTCATTGACTATACTAGGATCTGGTAATTCCATTCGTTTCTCCTTCTTTTTATTATGAAGTACAAATACTGCCAATTTAGTTTCTGGAACAGGTGTTCCTGCAGCATTGACTTCTATAAATTTACGTTTTTCTTCTTCAATATCTTTAAGTAATTCTTGAACTGCATATGCAAGAGTTGTGCGTGTATCATCAACCTCATCTACAATAAGGATGTTTTTACCAAGTAATGGACAAGTATCGGCATATGATGGTCCGAAATGAAGCCATTGAGTTTTTATTACTTGAGAACCAATTATCTCAGGATTTAATGATGAATCCGTAAGATCTTCGTAAAGTGAGAGGCCTATTGCTTGGATCGGAATATTTTTATTGTTCTGACGTTTTAGGAAAGTACGCTTAATAAAAAAAAAAATACATATATTTGATTACTTAATATATAGCTGTCCATAAGCAAATAATAAAAAATAAATAAAAAAAACAACTTAATAAAAAGATATTCTAGATTTTTCTTATAACAGCATAATATATTAAAAGTTTGAATATGTAATGATAAAGTCTTCTTTAACAATCAACTCAGAATAATATAAAGTATGGGAATATCATATTTACCAGAATTCGAGCAGGTATGAACCCACCTCCACCTATAGCAATCATAAGATCTGGTTTATAATTCTCATTGATACGATACCGTTCGACAGTTTCTTTTGTAAGCTTGTGTACTTGATTATACGAAATGTAGATTTTATCATCGTTTTGCATTTTGAGATTTAGAAATTCCACTTCGGAAAAATTATGATACCAATACTGAAACTCAAAAATCATTCATTCAGTGTTACTTTTCACGTGATATCGTGGTACGATAATCTCGAAAATTTTTGCCGATTCAAAAAAAAGTAATTATTTCATCTTCACGTGTACAGAACAGCAATTATGATAAACCGCGAAAATAATATTTCTTTATTGGTAAAAGGCATGAAATTCAACAAAGAACCATGTATATATGATGTATATGCAGAAAAGTTAGGAATAGTAATACAATGATAAGTTGCCGTTACGTACAGTAACTTTGAACAATATTGATATATGCATACGTATGCATATATATGTATATTTTTTTCGGCCTAAAAAAGTTTATATACACTTACTTTATATGTCGATATGCATGACTTGTTTTTTAAATACAGAAAACGTATAAAGTCAGACCTCTCGCTAGTCACCTCCTTTATAGTCACCTTTTCTTATAATCACAAATTTTAACCTTTATATAGGCAAGGGTGTGATTATAGAGATATGAGTACTGCAAATAGAGATGGGCGAGGTAATTACTTTGATTTTTTACGTAATAAGTAAATACCTTGCCCATCTCTAGCTGCAAATCGAAAACCTGTAATTTCGGGTTTTGCCGGCTCCGCTTTTCAGAAACAGTGATCAGATTCCTGATGGATTATAATAAAATTCTATAATAAATACTATTTAATAATCATGTGTCATTTTTATAAAATTGATTGCGAAAAACTCTCAATTACAGGTTTTCCTTTTGCGACACCCATATAAATATTGTGCCTCATCTCCTATGTAAATTGGTTAAGTAAATTAGTTAAGTGAGGTACGTAACCTATCAATCGGTCAATAAGCACAAAAAAATTATATGTAAAGAAATTATTGAAAATTGAACATGTTGAAAAACTTAGACAAAAAGCTTAAAATTATGTCACAAAAATTTAGGCAAAAAAAAACAAAAAAAACAATTTGTATAAAAAAATGTATATATTAATTGGAAATAGAATGTGTTAAAAAATTTAAAAAGAATAAAGATGCTAAAGAGACAAACTTAATGTAAAAGAACATTATTGTTGGTTGTAAAATACTAGAAATTAAAAAATGCTATTTGAGATAAAATGATTTAAAGTAATTCAAAATATAGAATATTATTGAAGTTTTTTTTTTTTTTTTAAATATTAAGGTGAGTACTTGCGACCCAGGATTTTATTAATAGTACATTCAGCTAATGGTTGCATTACAACCACAGAGGGCAACCATGGAAAGAGTGTACAACTAGCTATTTGTACAACTTTAGTCATTGTCTAATTTAAGTAGTCCACCCGAAGGTTCTACACTAGCTGTCATACCTGGAACCTGCTTGTAGATTCCCTATTTAACTACTCTGTTCTCATATCCACCCACCTACCTACATCTACAAAGATGCCCTAGTCGATATCGGTTCAAATATGCCATGGTCACTAAGTCTTTAAAGCAGTTCGCTTATATGGGGAATCTTTGACCTTGTACTAAACCTTCCAGAATCTTCTGTATCCCATTCTTACAACTGACCTGGTATCACTATGGCTGAGACTAACACTGGCAGTTAGGGCATACTATTAAACCGCTATGTCCTTGTAGAGTTCACTCCAACCCTGGTACTGACTTCACAACATATCTTTACTACTTTGGTATTCAATTCAAGTTCTACCAAGCTTCCAAATCAGATAGCCCAGAAAGGCAGATCGTAACCATACACCTTTGGTTTACATGTTTGCCAGCATGTAACCTTTTCCTTCAGAACTCAGAAATTCTGACGGCCTGGTTGGTTCCATTTGGCCCCTCCTCAAAGGCCGGCTCTTTGCCCAGTTTCACAAGTTCTAGCTCCATTTCATAGGTCTAGTCTTTACAGTAGCACTGTCGAAAGTTTGGGTTACCTTTCTACTCAGGTCTTCCAAGTGGGCTTCCATCCTCCTACCTGGTTCCTATGATTTACACAGCCTAAAGACTTATCTTGGGTTCACACTGCCCGGTACCGGTTTGTGTTCCTTCATACAACATTGCATGAATGCCTAGACCTTCCAGTCAGGCTGGTATGACACGAGTTACAGGTATCCTATCCCAACCAATCATGGAAGACAGTTAGCCGTAACACAAAAAGAATTGCAAATTTTCGCTGTCACTGGGATTTGAACTCTAGACTTGCTACTTAGGGGTTGACAACCTATCCACTTTACTAGATCACTACACCCCCATCTTTCTTTCTTTGTATTTCTCTCCTCTGATCTTATTTACTAATATTTCTTTACTTTTCACTTTCTTTATACTGCATTCACTATTTTCAACCATCTTGTCTTTTTTTGTTTTAATTTCGTTGTTATTCTATTTTCTTCCTCCCACTCAACTACTGCTCTACATCTTCGCCACCAGATTTCTTCTCTAAACATCTCTTCTACAATCTTCACATATAATTTAATACTCTGCTTTACAGCTTTACATGAAACCTGTTTAGAATACAACTCTTTAAACATACTCTTGACTGCTAACCCATGTATGCATGCCTCTCTATGTTTAATTTTATCTACTTCTGTTTTACTAACTAATATTCTTTTCAAGTTCTGTCTTATAAGCTTGCACTTGTTTAACTTGTTAAACTTTTTTCATACTAACCAACATGCTAACTCTTCGATATTATTTCAATAGCCTTTGTATTCCTCGCAAATAAACAAATGTTTTGATGACTCTTCCTCTGTTTTATACTCTTTACATAAGTCTATACAAGTCTGGTGCTCTCTTCTTTAACATCTTAAGCACTAGCAAACTATTTGTAATGCACTTAATTCTAAATGAGATTCTTTTGCTCTCCTCTAATGATTTACATTTGTTTTCTATTAAATTTCTATTTTCTTTCCACAACCGTCTCCAATTACATTGTGCTTCTGCATCTGATTCTAGCTCTTTTGTTGCATTTGAGTAACACCATTCAGCACTATTCATTATGTTTATTAATGTCTTGACAAATTTTCTTGTCGGTATCTCTACTACTGTTTTTCTTCAAAATAATGCATATGGAAATCTCAAATTTTTCTTAAGCTTCAAATTTGTAATTTCAATCTGCCATGCACCTTCTTTTGCAAACTTATCTGCTCTTTTATTTTATAATATTCCACTATGTGCTTTGACTTTAACTAATGATAGCTTAATGTTCTTCAACTTGCACATGTCTTTAATCTTTGTAACTAATCTAAAGTTCTTACTTTTACTCCATACTCTAATATTATGTAGTGGGTTCTCACTTTCCAGACTTGTAATTGCTGCTGCACTATCTAATTTAATAATTACCTTACTATTACATGCTATAATTAATACTGCCATCCACACTGCCACTAACTCTGCCTTTGTCGATGATGGCCATTTTGCTATTCTAATTTTACTTTCTATTAATAGTCTACTCTCATCTTTGCTAATCTGAACCCAACTTGCACCTATTCTGCACTCATTTTTCTTTTTTACTAGTAACCCATCTGTATAAAAACTGTAATTTGTATACTCTACTTTCATGTTTTCTTCCAATTGCTTTAACAACAATGTTTCTAGATTATTATTAAAACCTTGCATCTTTAACAGA